CAAACATGCAGGTTAAACAGTATTGATAGAAAGAGGCAAGTTTGAAAAATCAAGATGAACATAATCACATAGAGGCGGTATAAGTTAGGCTAAAAGCTCAGTAAGAACACATTCGAGGCAAGGTAATCACAGAAACTTAAACAAGAATCGAGTAGTCATGCTAACACACAGAACCAAACAAAGAAAATCTAGAAAAATTAGGGCTTTTATCATAGGCGAGTCGAAAAAGCAGTAAGATCATAGAATCAGTCAAAAACATGCAAGAGATAGAAGTTTAAACATAAAGAATCAGTTTAAACAATGTTTTAGAAGAATTTCTGAAAACCCTAATTTTAGAAGAAGGGGAAAACACTTTGAAATCGGTGATTCTTGCATAAGGGATTCAAGAACAGTGTAAAACATCAAAGAAACAGACTCGAATCGTTTTAAAAACGTACAGATCTAAGAGATGTAGGAAGAAATTAGGGTTCCAAAAGAAACCCAAGGAGAGGTGAAAGAACCTGGCTGAATCCCAAAGATCGTGACAAATACAGTGTGATTTTGCTCGAAATCACACAAGAGTAGCCAAGAACAACCAAATAGCAAACCCTAGATGCAAGTCGGCGTGGCCCAGGGCCCTTGAAGAACTTAGAGAAGGCAAACATAGCATTAGAGGGACCATTGGAGGTCTAGGAGTTGACGGGAGATCATCGGAGAAGACCGGAGAAGAAGGTCGGCGGTTGAAGGAGCTAGGGGTAGGTTGAGTGCTTGAGAGAGGAGAGGAGATGAGAGAATATAGAGGCGGCGGTCTCTGAGGAATGAGGTAGGGTTAGAGGTCGTTTGGGATAAAAAAGGAATGAACGGACGAGGGCCGTTTAGATCAACGGCCAGGATTTGACGGGCCTTGGGTCGGGTAGGAGGGTTTAGGGTCTGGGTCGGGTAGTTTGGTTAGAAATTGGGCTGGGGTTGGGTTTAAATTGGGCTACAATTGAAATGCAAATCTGGCTATATTTTAAATAGCCAATTTTCCCCTATATAATTTATAATAAATAACAGCTAATTTCTAGAAAATAATTGTGTATACTAAAATAATTTAAATATATATTTAACATTTTAATAATATAGGAGATTGATTTTATGCATATAAATGTAATTATACATTAATGGGGCTAATATTACAATTATATGCAATTTAGCTTTAAAAATACAAAATGCAATTATAAAAATGTGCAAAAATATTTTAACCATATTTTGGCATAATATAGAAATTAAGTGACTAAATCATCACAACAATAATTTGAGGGATAATTATTGAGGACTTTATGAATAAAAGGGAAGGAGATAAATCAATTTAAATCCTTAAAATTATGGGAAAAATTATAAAAACTTTGTGCATGCTTATATATGAATATATGCTCTATTTTGAAGGTATTTATGCATATATAAAAAATACAGGGAAAAATTGGGTATCAATAGCTGCCCCTCTTTACCCGGGAAGGATGAAAGAGTTTTCGGGTAAAGAAATAATGGCCAATTTTGACCGGACGAGATGTTTTGAAAGACGGGGCCAGACTCCGGTCTTCGAGCTGCCTACATATCCCTGGTTTTACAGGAATCAGGCCATGTGTAGTTCTGGGTTCATCTGCGGAATATGCCGATGAAATTATTGCAAGAACGTACAAGCGATGCCGAAGCGGCTATGGGGAGCGGTTACGATTTGTGACAGTTGGAGGGAACTGGAGCGAGAACGCTCCTGCTAGGATAGCGGTTTGCTCACTGGTTACCTGCAGATAAGAGATGCTACAAACACGTATTTGCAAAAATTTAAACATGATGCAAATTTCCTTTGGACCATGAAAGTTGTCTTTGGACGATTTAAGATGACGTCCTTGGACCATGACGTCCTGGGCCATGAATTATTTAGTGAGGTATTCGCAGGCCATGAAATGATGTTCTCGGGCCATGAAAATGGTGCCTCCGAACCATGACGCCTTTGAATAATTATATGCTATTTTTGAGAGATCCTCAGGCCATGGCATGGTGTCTTCCGGCTATGAGGATGATTCCTTTAGACTATGACGCCTTTGGATAGATTGACGATATTCCAGCCCATGATATGCAATAGTATGATATTAACAAGACAAGGCTTAGTCTTGTGAAATGGAGGGCAGAGCTTAGCCTGATCGAAAAGCAAATAAATAGTACTAAAAAAACAATCTTTGTGCAAGGAGGGACAGTGTTTGGTTCCATGCAGATGACGAGGCAAGAATTGGCCTCATGCAAGTATGGAGGCAGGGATTAGTCTCATGCAAATAGGAGGGGGATTAGCCTCGTGCAAATAGGAGGCAGGGATTAGCCTCATGGAGTCAAGGATTAGACTCATGCAAACAGGGAGCCAAGGATTAGACTCATGCAAGTATGGAGGCAGGGATTAGCCTCATGCAAATTGTGAGGCAGAGATTAGCCTCACGTAGGATGGAGTCAAGGATCTGCCTCATGCAAATAGGGAGGCTAGGATTAGCCTCATGCAAATATGGAGGCAGGGATTAGCCTCATGCAAATATGGAGGCAAGGATTAGCCTCATGCAAATATGGAGGCAGGGATTAGCCTCATGCAAATGGGCAGGCAAGGATTAGCCTTATGCAAATCGGGGAGGCAATGATTAGCCCCATGCAAATATGGAGTCAAGGATTAGACTCATGCAAATCGGGAGGCAAGGATTAGCCTTATGCAAATCGGGGAGATTAGCCTCATGCAAGTATGGAGTCAATGATTAGACTCATAAAAATGGGGAGGCAAGGATTAGCCTCATGCAAATATAGAGGCAAGGATAAGCCTCATGCAAATATAGAGGCAAGGATTAGCCTCATGGAGTGAAGGATTAGACTCATGCAAGTATGGAGGCAAGGATTAGCCTCATGCAAGTATGGAGGCAAGGATTAGCCTCATGCAAGTATGCGGGACAGGGATTAGTCCCATGCAAGGAGCAAGAAGCAAATAAGAGTAGCATATGTCTTAGCTGGAGATGTATTCGGTGTCTGATGGCCTGATTGATAGCGATCTTGCTATGTGGATGTTACCGTTACGTCGGATGTGCCTGCGTCCAAAGAAAATTTGTAAGTTTTGTGGGGGATGGTTGGTTCGTGCTTCTGTTGGCTGGCTTTGCTTTGCTCCGTTCTGAAAGCTTTTCGAGTTCCCCTAGGTGATACCTGACTGTAATGGAAATAGAGTTTTCGAAAATATGCAATTATTGATGAAAAATAAAGTTATTATTTAAAAACACAGTGAAATATCACGTTGTTTTAGATGAACTAGTNTTCTTCTTAATACTCTGCTTACTCTTCTGCAAGGAAGACTCAAAAGCCTCTTTCTTCTGCAACCTCCTGGTTTGTTTCAGCTGAAAGAGAATTAGGTTCTCCAACAGGTTTTTCTGTGACGATGTCATGAACCGGAGACTTGAAAAGCACCAGAGTCCTTTCATCCCCTAAGAATGGAGTTTCTTCCCCCTGAGATTCAGGCAGAGGGGAGGCTCCTTCATTCATAACACTCTCAGCAGCGATAGCCATGATATTTTGTGCCGCTTCCTTTTCTGGTGATGCTGTGGGAGCCAGTTAGTCTAGAACGGAGGAGTTCAAGTACTGATCGAGATCATCCTCAGAGACCTTTGACGCCTGAGGAGTAGCACTTTTGGTGCGTTTA